ATCATTCAGCCACTATGTGATTTAATTTTCCAATCTATATCACAGAGCATTGTCCTCAAACACGGGTGTTCAGGAGACCACCAGGGAGTTTGTTCAAAATGAGTATACCCAGGCTCCAGTCCAGACCTCTGAATAAATATGTTCAAGAGGAGAGGATGAACTTTAATAGTATGAACCTCTATAATGTCAGTTTTCACAACTCAAGAAAATGCTAGAGAAAAAAAATGATAGCAAAGCATTACAGAAAACTGACACTTTGCATTTCTCCATAATTATCTTCCTTTTAGAATATCAAATTTAATTTTCAGTTTAATTTTCTTATTGCTAGCAGTTAAAAACAAGAGCAAATTTTTAGATGGTTCATTAGTCATAAATGACTCCCTCACATTTTCTCAAATTACACTATATATAAAAGGTATATCACCAAGTCTTAAACACTTCCATAATAACTGATCACAAAGGGAAAGAATTCCCTACACAGGGATGTTCAGAAATGCTGGCAAAAAGCAGAAGTATCCTAATAGTGAAATTTCAGCTACTCTCTACCATAAAAAAATATTCAGTTGAAGGTTGAGGTATCTGCCTAAGGAGAAATCTGGTTTGCTTCACATTCTGGGGAAGCTGATACATCTAGAAAACAGATCCTTTAAATAAGTTAATTTTATCCCACTGCAACTGTTGTCTTCAGCATCTGAACTCCTGCCCAGTATTTCTGAGGTCAATTTTTTTCACCATAGTCTGCCTTCAAACACACATTAATTGTATCACTTTTCTTTTATTTTTAAAAATTTATTTATTTTAGAGAGAGCACGAGTGCACGAGCAGGGGAGGGAAGGGGTAGAGGGAGAGGGAGAGAGAAGAATCTTAATCAGGCTTTGTGTTCAGTGCAGAGATTGAGGCTGGCTCAATCTCACAATCCTGAGATCATGACTTAAGCCAAAATCAAGAGCTGGATGCTTAACCAACTGAGCCACCCAGGAACCCTGCTTTTCTTTTTCTTTTTTTTTTTAAGATTTTATTTATTTATTTGAGAGAGAGCGAGAGCCAGTGTGGGGTGCGGGAGGGGAAGAGGGATGAGTAGACTCTGCGCTGAGTGCAGGGCCTGACACTGGGCTTCATCCCACGACTCCAAGATCATGACCTGAGACAAAAATCAAGGGTCTGACGCTCAACCCACTGAGCCACCCAGGCGCCCCCACTTTTCTTTAATCAGATTTGTGAGCCCATGTATCAGAACCATTAAATGGCAACTGACCCAGATTTGTCATCCCATTCTTTAAATAGGCCATGAAAAGTCTTCTTTCTTTCTTTTTTTTTAAGATCCTATTCATTTATTTGACAGAGAGAGACACAGCGAGAGAGGGAACACAAGCAGGGGAAGTGGGAGAGGGAGAAGCAGACTTCCCGCGGAGCAGGGAGCCCGATGCGGGGCTTGATCCCAGGACCCCAGGATCATGACCTGAGCCCAAGGCAGACGCCCAACGACTGAGCCACCCAGACGCCCCGGAAAGTCTTATTTCTTACTATACAAAGATACAGTTAAACTTTAGGATTAGAATGTAAGTAGCGTGTTATATTTATCACCTGATATAAAAAAGTTCTCCTAGAAATGTGTTCAAGGTTCTTTTCTCCCCATCCTCCACTCTTCTGAGTTAACCTGAAGCATCTCTCCCAAGTAGAAGTAAAATGTATTTTTAATATAACAGCATTTAGGGGGATTATGTGCCATTCTCCCATATCCTACTTAAACGCTGACAATACCCACCGGACGAGATGTAGCCAAGAGTCAAGAGGACAGTCTAGGCACTTTCAAGCTCCCTGATTATTAAAAACACAGGGAAAACATTCTTCCTTACTGGATGTACCTCTACTTTCTCTATATATGAAGTGAAAAAACAAAATCTGATCTAACTTGTCTCTTAGGATTTTGGAGATGGATAAAGTAACAAAGCACCCACTCCCCAAACAAACATACAAGAACTCTGAATAAGTGTGTTTTAATAAGTGATGAAGGGCTTGAGCTCTTGACAACAAAGTACTCTATTATCACAGAGTAATTACATTTGTTGATACAAGAATATGGGTGAAGCAGTTCTGTTTCACTGTTTCAAAGCGTGTACGAACATAGATGCTTAAGAACATCTCTATGGGACTGGGTGGGTCAAATGGCACGATGAAAATATGGTCCCAGACGGCCAAAAATGTTAAATTGTTGGAGGTAAGCCATAGAATGTCCTTTTCTACAGATGTTTAAGAGAGAAAGAAGTACTTCTGGGAAGAGAGAGAAGAACGGGATAATCCCTGCTGGCTCAAGGAAATCTGTGAGAACAGGTGAAAGCTAACGAGGAGAAATGGAATTGAAGAGTCCATGTCTGACAACCTTTTTTTTTCTTTTTCTACTGCACACGTCCCCACCGGGCCGCCAGCTGTACAAACAACTGTGCAACAACTGGGGGCGGAGCCCTTACTGCTCTTGCTCCGATTACTGAGCTCACTCAAAATCTTTAGACTATTACTGAGGTCAGAGAATTGAAAGTCCCCGTTTTCTCCTCCATCACAAATCCTCCAGTTCCAAAAAGCAACGTTGTCTTTCTGGAAGAACAGTCAATGGGGACAATGGGACAAGGAGCCAAGGCCTCAGCCCAGGGAGGCAGCCCCCGGCCGGGTTCCGGGCTGCCCCCTGGCGGTCACCTCCGTGGCCCTCGCTTCCCTGGGTCCAGCTCCCCAGCCCCAGGTCTTACACCCACCCCCTTCTTCACCTCCCAGTCCCCTCCCCTTCCTCCCGGCAGCATCCCCTTCCTCTTCATCCCCCTCCCCGAGCTGCCCCCGCCAGTGGAGGGGCGCCGCTCCGTCTGCACCCAGAAGTCAGGGGCTGGGCTGGGCTGCGGTACAATTTCTCACGGCAGTCTCCCTTCCAGCCCCGACGCCCCTCAGAGTCCACACATCTTCTTCCCCCTCACCTCCTCGTCCGGGACGCTGCCGGCCGCGCTTTCATCGAGCCCCCCAGTTTGGTTCCGTTTCTTTCCCTAGTTAAGACTCCCTATCACTGACGGTTACTTTTTGGCTTTTTCATATATGCATATTTTGGGGGCCTTTAACCCCCCCTCGTGGAGAAATGGAGGCAACAAAATGGCGGACCCGGAAGTGAAGACTGAGCTAATACACATTTTGGCGGAGGGATCTATAAGGAGAAAATGATCAGAAAACCCACATTTACATTCGAACAGAAGAGCAATGCCCCTCCGAAGCTCATTTTCTTTCCATCGAAGGCTTTTTGTGGTGGAAAAGTGTGTATCCGAGATAAACCAGACGGGACTATTTTACGAGGCGGAGGATTGTTGATTACGCGTCTTACGTGTCCTATAGTTCCGGTAGGGGACGGACCCGACGCTTTCGGCGCCGAGAACTTGGGGGATGTGTCGAGGAGAAACTAGAGTCGGCGTGGGTCCTGCGCCGTTTTGGTAGCTTGTCTGGGGGCCGGCTTTAAGGTTGACGGGAAAACCTTGTTTCCCCGTCTCTACCTCGGGTGAAACTTGGGACATCCCCGGCTTTGCGCTCGAATTAAACTCTGGTGCCCTGACGGTTGTACTTCCAGTTTACAGCATGAATGTAAGGACCCCGGAACCGTGGACCAGATAATGGATTCATTTCTTTTTAGAGGCTTGAAAGGGGATACAGCATGAGTTTGCAAATCCACTTACACATTTTACATACCAAACAATTGATTGCCATCTTCATTCATCCATGGCCACTAACTAAAGGCAGCGAGAAATCGGGAAAGAAGCCCTTCAAAAATAAGTGAACATTGGAAAGGACACGTCATGGCTCCACTCTTTATTAAGATTTTGGCTTTTGTCGTTTATGGTGGGCCTTTCAAAGCCTAAGGTTTTCGCGTCTACCTTCTTTTCTGAACTTGCTAGTGTCATCTTTAAAGTATTTACGGCATACTGCCCATGTTCGATCCATTTTGATATTTACGGCTTCCCTTTTTGAGAGTCAAAATCTTGTTTCATTCCTGTTTACATGCTCTATTTGTAAGTTCAAATAGTTGGGGGTTTTTGTTTTTTAATGAGACGAGTGGTAAATAAGCAGATAAACATATTTGGGTGAATTAGTTTCTTAGGCACCTAGACTAAGATAATGAAGAGCATATTTGGTAACACAGGTGCCTTCTGAGGCATCTAGAATTATTACCTTGGTATTTTGGTAGCCAGTGGGCAAGTAGAAAAGTGGTTGCAGCTTTCGTCTTAGCGGAAGGGGAAAGCAAGGCTAATTTCGGAGATCTATACTACTTCTCTGTGAAGAGAGAGAAAACTAGAATCCAGTCCTGGGATTGAATGTCTTTATTAAAGAAATGAGTAAATGGCAGCACAAATCAGCAATAATTTTGGAAGGAATGGGGGGACAAGGTGTAGGGTTATAATGTGATTATTTCATGGTCTCAAGGTAGCTGAAGAACTGTGCCTGAGGCCCGCTGATGAGTATTATACATTGCAGATGAAGGGCAAGACTGAAACACTAAAGGCCAAACCCTATGCCTTTTAGAAACAGAATCAAAACCTTACAAATTATCATAGTATTCAGTAAGATTGCATCTTAAGAATTGAAATTGGAGTCATTTTCCTCAGAGTTTTCTGTTAGGAGCAAAGTTATAAAGTGAGTAGGCTTGAAGGAGGAACACCCTTTTGAGAATGTGGTTATTTCTGAAATGATTCAATGCTTTCCCTTATTTTAATTTTCCATGATGTATTATTTCCTCTTGTTTTATACTTTTAACTACCCCCAATTTCTCTGAGAAAAAGTGTATTACAAGGAGCAGGATCAAATAGCAAGAGACTTATCACCTTAGCCTTTTAGAAATCCTACTGTCTTGTAGCAGATAATCTCAAATTAAAACTTCTAAGGTTTTCATCAACTCTGGAAGAAAGATTTGTGTTTACTGATACGGAGCAGGAAATTAGGTTTGAGCAATCTCTAATGCTGATTAAAATGAAGTAAAAAAATCGGTCCTCCATTTTGTACCACTGTACTACTCTCTGGTGCCCCCACCAGGCCTGTTATCTGGAATTAGTATCTGGGGAGGGGAAAGAAGGAATCCCTGTGATCCAGTACTCCATTGCTTGAACGCTTTTCTTTGTGGCTTAAGGGCTTTTGAGAGAAACTGATAAGATAGAGAAATAGATAAATAAATAAATAAATAAATAAATACAACACAACTCTGGCAGATTCATCAGCACCACCTCAACACAATAGAGGGGAGAGAGCAAGATTAACAGGAGAAAAGGGTGGAAAGGAAGGGGCTTGAAAGGGAAGACGGTGAGGGCAAGGTGGTGGGAGAGAGAAGTCTTGGGCTTAAAGCAAGTCCAATTCAAAGGAGTGGATACTAGCAATGGGAGCTCTCCAGAAGTTGAAGGTGCTGTATTCAAGGAGGGCATCGCCTTCGGAGTTTTTCTCCTGTTCTCCAGTTGCTTGCCCGGTCATTTTGCCAGCGCTGCTGTCTTTGATCTTGTAGATGGATGTATCTGACAGACCCAGGCCTTCCAGCTCCGACAGATCCAGTTCTGGAATGGGCATCCTCCAGAAAAGAAAGGAGCTGTACTGGCTACTCACGGGGTCCCTCATAACTTCCTAGAAAGAAACCACTTGTTAGTCTTCATGCTACAGCAACCTCTTCATGGCCCATGGCCTTTCCTTACTTAAAAACTTTACATCCCCATTTGCCTCTGTACATGATCCAAGTTCCCTAGAATGAGCTTTGGGACCTCTTCCTTTATGATGGTTTTCTACCATTTCCTAACTTCTCCCCATCTTGAAATGACTTAATTCACTGCCTACTCCTTCATGTCAATCTTGGGCCTGGTTTTCAAGGCTTTCTAGAATTTGGCCCCAACCTTCCTAGCAGTAGCACATTCTCTGCTAGTTATGCTCATTCCTCTCTTACTTACCTTTCTCTACTCTCCATCTTTTTTTTTTTTTTTTAACTTACTAGATCACCAGTTTATTATAAAAGACTGTAACTCAGGAACAGCAGATGGAAGAGATGCACAAGGCCAGGGATATAGGGAAAGGGTGCAGAGCTTCCATGCCCTCTCCAGGTATACTGCTGTCCCCACATCTCCACGTGTTTTCACCAACCTGAAAGCTCCTCTCTACTCTTCATCTTAAAATAACTACCTAAGTTTCAAGACTACTGGAGGAGTCCCTAGAAGAATTCAAGTCCTTAGAGGAATCTTTCCCCTTGAATCCTTATTATGTTAGTAAATCCTCAACTTCTTGACTTTGGCTTAATAGGTACCTCTATAAAGGGCTTCCATGACATTTCTGCTTTCTGTTTTCCTCCCTGCCTTCTAAACCCTACTATAAACTCACCTTTCCAGGAGGACTTCCTTAAACTTACTCAGCTCCCCCTACCCTGTATCTTCCAGCATCTCTGCCAACACCCTGTAGAGTTTTACCTATTATCAGTTTGGGGCTACAGATCACTGTTATGTGTCTTGTATAGGGACAGTCTCTCTCCTGCAAGAAACAGTTTCTCTAAAGGTAAAAACCAGTCTACTTTATACCTTCTTCATAGGTGCTGGGCTTTGCACACAAAAGACATTCGAAACTGTTGATTAATTTTCTCTCACTATTTAATACAATCCATAACTTGCCACCCCCCATCTATTAGCCCATAGATAAGTCTTAACAGCCTATATTTCGCTCTAGCCTACCTCTCCTTCAAAACAAAACCCAGGTGCTAAAAGAATTTTCCTGTGCTATAACAAGACCTTTTTTCTTTGATCCCAATGCTAGATTATACCTGAGAGCAAATGGATTGAAAATTCCAGGTAAGGAGAGTAAGAGCTTAGATTGGAAGGAGAAAGTCCCTTGTCAGGATTAGATACTGTTCCATGCTTCAACGAGTGCTCCTATCACCTTTCCTGCTCATCCCACCCACATCCTGATATATGACTATTCTACCTCCTGCACCCTGCTGGTTACTAGCCAAGGGAAGGGGCCAAAGCATTAGTTGAAATGTTCCCAAAGAGGCAGAAAGGACATTCCATTGCCTCCAAAAATAAAACCCCCATTTTAAAAGGCCTTCCTCCCAGCACACTCCATTGGCTCCTACCAGGCCTTGAGGGTCCTAAATAGTGGCCTTAAATAGGTTCCTAACTGCCTCCATAAAATGTGTTAGGCGAACATGATAACCATTACACTAGAAATTCTATAACCCCAGGTAATGTGAACCATCTCAACTAAGGCCGAAAAACAACGTCTTAATCTAGAGCACAGTTATGTGTGAGTGTAGGGGCTTAGAAAAAGTGGGCAGCCTAGGATGTTTTTAATGTTAAAAGCCAATTGTCAGTTGCTCTTTCTCTTCTGAGGTTCAGACTCCAAAATAAACCCTGGGAACTGAGCATTACTCAGCAGAGAAGCTGCTTAGAAGGAGGGTTATGTGGGGACTGGAACAGGGTGGGGGAGCATGTTAGAAAGGTGAGGTCATCATCCTATGATATTCAGCTCTGATCATCTCCACAGTAATTTGCAGAGACGTGTACAGAAAGAGAGGTACAAAAAAATGGTTGTACCTCTCAGCCTACCAACTCCAGCTTCAGTCTGGGACTACAGAGATCCCAAGATGCAAACCTCAGGAATCATCAGTGTTACTGACTACTGACTAACCACAGGGATTTTTTTTGTCCTGTTTTTTCTGATTTTGTTTCTTTCCTTCCTCCCCCC